GGATATCATCCGTTCGCTCGTTGAACTCCGACTGGAATCCTGCATCCGACTGGAATCCTGCAGACGTTTCGCCAAAATCTCACTTGGCATCTTCAATGCTCGCGCTCCGAAAACACTTCGAACACTCTCAGTGTTCGAAGTGTTTTCGGAGCGCGAGCATTGAAGATGCCAAGTGAGATTTTGGCGAAACGTCTGCAGGATTCCAGTCGGATGCAGGATTTGCAGGATTCCAGTCGGATGCAGGATTCCAGTCGGAGTTCAACGAGCGAACGGATGATATCCCGGAGTATAGTGTCATCATATATATATATATATATATATATATATATATATATATATATATATATATATATATATATATATATATATATATATATATATATATATATATATATATATATATATATTGCATTTTTAAACACGTTGCTTAATGTTTCCAAAATTGAAAATGATGAAGAAAAAGTGTTTTTCGTGTAAAAAAAAAAGAACTTGGTAATTAATTTTAATGAAAAATGTTATACACCTTATCATTTCGACGATTAATTAATTAATTCAACTCAGTTTGAAGGTTATCAGATCTCCTGTTACAAAAAAGTGACTGTTTAAAAAAAATGGTTTTATGAAGAGGCATATACGGGAAAGTTTTTTCACGCTTACAAAGCAGCATCAAGATTTAAAATTTTAATAAAATCAGCATAAAATTAAAAACACTTCTTGCGACTTCCCTAAGTAAAAAAAAAGAATAGCTATGCATCAATTGTACCGAATTGGCATCAAAATTGGAACTTGATCTATGGCTAGGTCTACGTGCTTTTCGTGCATACACTGGTTCGGATTACCCTGCAGCTTTTTTTAGCAAAGAAAAAGCAAGACCTTTCAATCTATTTTCGAAGAGCCAAACAAACCAAAAATATTTTGCTTCATTAAGAAAAAATTGATGTAATTGACGTCTTCACTGTGGCTATATATAGCATAAAAAATTGTAACAAAGTTACGCCAGATATTAAATGTTTGTTAAAAATTTATCTACAAAAGAAGATAATGAAGATGTTCTAAAAAAAGTTAGAAGTTTGGGTTCAAACACTATCACACCCAGCTGGATATCATTAAAACAAAAAAATTTACGTACTATTTATGTCAGCTCAATGTGGTTACACTGATTCTCATTGCGCAAAATTGAACCCTGAAAATTGTGGTTGGTTGCTGGATGGGCATTTAAAATTAAAAGGATTTGAAGGAGACTACACAAAATAAATAATATTTTAGAGATGACAGGAAAAGAAATAAAAATATTACTGTTATTTGTATGATTACTCAATGTTTTTTAAACCAAAAACAAGACTGTACAAATATGAGACTTGAGAATAAGCTTAGCTTATTTCTTGTAAAATTACACCAATAATTAGTGCACTGTACAGAATTACAGACCACCTATTTTAATATTATTTATATTATTTTAATATTATATTATATTATAATATATATATACATATATATATATATATATATATATATATATATATATATATATATATATATATATATATATATATATATATATATATATATATATATATATATATATATATATATATATATATATATATATATATATAGTTGAAAAATATGCTTTTCTTGGATCCTTGTATATTTTTTATAGGATGATTCTTAGGGTTTGGTCCACAGTGAACAAAACTCACAAATAATTTTAAAACACTGTAATTGTCATTGACGTTTCGATCGGCAACCCAGGTCTTTCTCAAAAACTGCAAAACAAAGGACAAAAAAAAGCGTCTAACACAGAATATCTTAAACAGTAGACATATACGAATTTAAAAATTACAAATATTACAAAAACAAATGACATATATTAGTCATACTCACAAATTTATTATTATTTTTTTAAATGTCTATTATTAGCGCTATTTGTGAAAAAGTACCACAACATACATCATTGCCAAAAACAATAAAGTTCTTGTTTCGGCGTACGAATCACAAATAGAAGTGGAAAATAAACATTCATTGTATCTGATGTCTTTTTTTTTTCCCTCTTAGTTTTTATTTATTTATTTTTTTAGAGTGTACGTTTGTGTTAAGTTTAAGATCTACTGATACGCAGTGAAGCATCTGAGCATTAAAATGGTCTACTTTAACAATTCGAAATAGATTTCACTCAGGTGTTTTATGTCGGTTTTCGCGTTTATGGCGTTTTTATTCCTTTGAATATGTATCATCTCAATTATTTCCCTTTTTTGTGTGTTTGGTTCGGTAGCGAGTATTTTTGTGTCATCGGAGTTAAAGGTATGTGTTTTCTCCGTTATATGGCTGCTGATGGCTGTTTTGTTTTTTTTGTCGTACTTATGACCATTTTTTTTTAAATATGTTTGTGGGATCGTTTTTTAATTCGCTATGTGTGGCCCTATCTGATAGAAGTTCATTTATTTTATTGTCATAGTCGGTAGTGTACATTATGACTGTTTTGTTAGTCTTATCAGGTTTTAACGTTATAATGTTAGGGTTTTGTTTTAGAAAATGTTGGGTTTCTTTAACTTTTTTAACTAACATATTTTGGGTTTGGTTAGCAGTCCAGTTTTGCTTATTTTTGTAGTTTCTAATAATATTACAGCATTTTGATCTATAGTCATTCCGTGCGTCGGTTGAACAGTTTCTAAGAGCTGACTCAATACTGCTGATGATGTTAGGAATGGGTATCTCTTTTGGTTGGCTGATAGGTACGGCAAAATCTGGACCAAGACTAAAGATCTCAAGCACGTTACGCGGAATATAAATATTAGTTAAATTTTCTACCCAGTTCTTATTTTGTTCTGTTTGAGAGATTGAATTTTTTTACAATTATTTTGCTTAATTTTATTAAAACCATCTTCAGTTTTGCCAACATACACAAACATTCCTATCGATTTAGCTATAGACATAATAAATAAAAAATGGGACATGATCAAACTTCACACAGACATTCCACTAGACGAGTTCGTGGAAGCCATAAAATTAACTCTAAATTCGACCTATTTCATATATAATAATAAATATTACAAGCAGATTGACGGTTGTGCCATGGGTGCTTCTATTTCGAGTGTAATTGCTCAACTTGTTCTCGAAGACCTAGAAAAAACAGTTATTGACAAAATGACTATTAAATTACCCTGTTTCTATCGATATGTCGACGACTGTTTTCTAGCAATACCTAAAGGAAAGGGCGACCTCATTCTGAATAGTTTTAACTCATATCACACAAAGATAAAATTTACCATAGAATATGAAAAAGATGACAAAATTAACTTCTTAGACATGACACTAATACGCAAGGAAAACAAAATCAGAACGATGTGGTACACAAAAGATACATGGTCTGGACGATACCTTAATTTTCACTCCCAACACCCAATATCCCAAAAAAAGACTGTTATTATCAGGTTGGCTGACAGAGCAATAAATCTATCTGATCCAGAGTATAGAAAAGAAGCTTTATATAAGGCTAAGTACACACTAAAACTAAACAATTACCCAAGTGCCTTAATTAACTCTATTTTTAAGAGAAGGATACATAAATTCTACAACAAGATTTCTGTTAAGGAAAACACACAACCATCAAAACGAGAATATTGTTCGTTGCCATACATACCAAATTTATCGGAAAAAATCTCGAATGTGTTTAAGGGAAGCTCTGTAACAATCTGCCACAAGGGTCAAAATTTGTTAAATAGGAATTTCAGTAAACTAAAAACACCAATACCCAAAGATAAAAAAAGTCACATTGTATATCAAATACCATGCAACGACTGTGACCAAGTGTACATTGGACAGACTAGCCAACTGTTGAAGAACCGCATCAATGGTCATAAGTACGACAAAAAAAACAAAACAGCCATCAGCAGCCATATAACGGAGAAAACACATACCTTTAACTCCGATGACACAAAAATACTCGCTACCGAACCAAACACACAAAAAAGGGAAATAATTGAGATGATACATATTCAAAGGAATAAAAACGCCATAAACGCGAAAACCGACATAAAACACCTGAGTGAAATCTATTTCGAATTGTTAAAGTAGACCATTTTAATGCTCAGATGCTTCACTGCGTATCAGTAGATCTTAAACTTAACACAAACGTACACTCTAAAAAAATAAATAAATAAAAACTAAGAGGGAAAAAAAAAAGACATCAGATACAATGAATGTTTATTTTCCACTTCTATTTGTGATTCGTACGCCGAAACAAGAACGTTATTGTTTTTGGCAATGATGTATGTTGTGGTACTTTTTCACAAACAGCGCTAATAATAGACATTTAAAAAAAAAATAATAAATTTGTGAGTATGACTAATATATGTCATTTGTTTTTGTAATATTTGTAATTTTTAAATTCGTATATGTCTACTGTTTAAGATATTCTGTGTTAGACGCTTTTTTTTGTCCTTTGTTTTGCAGTTTTTGAGAAAGACCTGGGTTGCCGGTCGAAACGTCAATGACAATTGCAGTGTTTTAAAATTATTTGTGAGTTTTGTTCACTGTGGACCAAACCCTAAGAATCATCCTATAAAATATATATATATATATATATATATATATATATATATATATATATACAGGGTTTTTCACTTAAAACTCCGCACGCCAATAAGTCCAAAACGAAAAGAAATATTTAATTTATGTAAAAAGTAGTCAAAGTGTGGGGTCAATTAGATATTTCCTAAAGTTTAAAAAATTCGACGCCTTCAAAGAGCTGGGCGTCGCGACGCGTCGAAAAATTATTCGATTGCAGAGACTTTGGAAATACGCGCATACAAA